ATTATTAAAAGTTAATTAGTTCATATTATATATATACGATATATACTACGAAATATCATGTTTATGTCCTGATGCTCATTAACAATTTTTGCATTAAAATTTCCTTACTTCTCTCTTCTGTTTTCTGCACAAAAGGTACGTGTGAACTCAATATTGCAAAAAAAAAAAAAATTAAAACGAAAATAAAAATAAAAATGCAAAAAAAAAAAACGAAACAAAATAAATAATAAAAATATATATAAATAAAAAAAATAAACAATAATAGTGAAATGCAATAAAAAAAAAGAGAAAACAAAACGAAATAATATTGAATTTTTCAGATTTAATGCATTTTGTTGAACATTTCATTTTATTAACGACGCGAGTGTTCTTAATTGCCTTTAATTAATTTTCTTCTTTTAAATTCAAAATGCAAAAATAAAAACGAGAATAAAACAAAGGAGAATGACGTAAATGAATAAAAACACAATTGTACACTTTCAAACCCAGAAATGTGTGAAAGGAAAAAGGGCGCATACGCCTCACTGGGCAGCCACATTTCCGAGTCGAGCATTTTTCTTCCCTTTGAGTGCAATTTTGCAATAAAACACAAATGTGCAAAATTATAAAAAAAAACAGAAAAAAAAACAAAAACAAATTACAAAAAAGAAACAATCGTAACAGAAATGAAAAACGATTGCACACATATGCAAATCACAACAAAAAAAAATAATAATATTTAATAACAAAAAACGCACACAACAAAAAAATAAAAGACTTTTGCATTCATCTGTATTTTCAAAAAAAAAAAAAATAACAATAATAATAATTTATAAAAATAAGTGTAAAACTATAACAAAAATTATAAAATAATCAAAAAATAAAAAACATGAATATATAAACACAAGAACACAAAAAAATAATAAATACATATATTTAATAAAATTAAATTAAATAAAATTAATTATTTTATTATTAAATAAAATTTAAAAAAAAAATTGATTTCAAACAAAAAAAATATAATAATAATAATGTATAAATATAAGTGTGAAAAACTGAAACAAAGATTATAAAATAATCAAAAAAAAAAAATTGAATATAAAAAATACAAAAAGATAATAAATAAATTTAATAAAATTTATTTGTTTATTATTAAATTAAATTTAATAAAAAAAATTAATTTCAAACAAAAAAAAATAATAAAAATGTATAGAAATAAATGAAAAAAACTAAAATAAAAGTTATAAAATAATCAAAAAATGAATACATAAAATTCAGAAAAATAATAAATAAATTTAATGAAATCAAATTAAATTCAATTAATTATTTTATTATTATATAAAATTTAATAAAAAAAAAATTAATTTGAAACAAAAAAAAATAATAATAATGTATAAATATAAGTGTAAAAAACTGAAACAAAGGTTATAAAATAATCAAAAAAAAAAAGAAATTAAAAAAATACAAAAAGATAATAAATAAATTTAATAAAATTTATTTGTTTATAATTAAATTAAATTTAATAAAAAAAATTAATTTCAAACAAAAAAAATAATAAAAATGTGTAGAAATAAATGTAAAAAACTAAAATAAAAGTTATAAAAAAATCAAAAAATAAGTACATGAATATATAAAATTCAAAAAGATAATAAATAAATTTAATGAAATCAAATTAAATTGAATTAATTATTTTATTATTATATAAAATTTAATGAAAAAAAATTAATTTGAAACAAAAAAGTTAATAAAAATGTATAAATATAAGTTTGAAAAACTGAAACAAAGGTTATAAAATAATCAAAAAAAAAGAACTTAAAAAATACAAAAAGATAATAAATAAATTTAATAAAATTTATTTGTTTATAATTAAATTAAATTTAATAAAAAAAATTAATTTCAAACAAAAAAAATAATAAAAATGTGTAGAAATAAATGTAAAAAACTAAAATAAAAGTTATAAAAAAATCAAAAAATAAGCACATGAATATATAAAATTCAAAAAGATAATAAATAAATTAAATGAAATCAAATTAAATTGAATTAATTATTTTATTATTATATAAAATTTAATGAAAAAAAATTAATTTAAAACAAAATAATAATGTATAAATATAAGTGTGAAAAACTGAAACAAAGGTTATAAAATAATCAAAAAATAAACAACATGAATATAAAAAATATAAGAAAATAATAAATAAATTTAATAAAATTAAAATTTATTATTAAATAATATTAATCATTTTATCATTAAATAAAATTTAATAAAAAAAATTAATTAAAATTAATTAATTAAAATAATATAAAATGAATTTTAATAATAGATATGTCACTGAAACAGGCTATGTAACAACAACCCTATATTATGTTAAAAAGTGCTACTTGATTGCGCTAAAAGGTAAAATATAAATGTAAAAAAATGTGTGTGCCAAATATTTATAAAAACATTTTGATTATTAAAAACCTAAAATTAAAATAGTTTTAAAGCATTTAATATTGATTGATATACGAAAAGTACAAATATGCTCGCTTCTTCTTATATCAAAGAGTGCTCTCTGACTGCGCTAAAAGGTAAAATATAAATGTGAAAAAATGTGTGTGCCAAATATTTATAAAAACATTTTGATTATTAAAAACCTAAAATTAAAATAGTTTTAAAGCATTTAATATTGATTGATATACGAAAAGTACAAATATGCCAGCTTCTCCTTAACATGAAGGTAATTTTCGAAAGCAACATCTCAACTATATATTTTTAGCCTTTAAATGGTTAAAGTGGCTTACAAATCGAAGGGAAGAAATAAAATAAAAGGATATGAAACAAAACAACAATAGGAAAATTGCTGCTGTAAAGCAAAAATTGCTTCTAATGATCATAGCAATATTTTCTCGTTAAGCCAAGGTAATCGGCACTTCTTCTAAATAGACCATAAGCTGGCAGGCAGGCAGGCAGGCGGGCAGCCATTGGCTTATTGGCGTGTTTCGTTATCACCAGGCAATATTAAATCTAACGAAATCTTTGAAAAGTAAGGGCAATAAAGGAAAATACATTTCGATTATGCGCACATTTTTTAAATTTATTTGTTCTTAATGGCCCTTTACCGATTTGGCTGCTATTTTATATTTTACTACTCAATGCATGCTTGGCATTCATTGTTCTGAGGGTGTTTATTTGAGCACAAGCCGAAATTGCCTGTAAATATGTACTGACCATCTCTTCCGTATAATAATAATCGCACTACCAAATGGACTAATGATGATGATAAAAAATTTATATAAAAATAAATAAAAGCAACACAAAAGCTAATGGAAATTACATTTAAATGAGTGTAAATTGCATTAAATTACTTTTCAACTTTTGTTAGTTGGTTTCGTTAGTTTTTTTTACTACTATATTTTTTTATTTTACTTCAAAATTATATATTTTTACTAAGTTGTTGTTGTTGTTGTTTCTTCAGTTAGTGCTATTACGCACTTTTACTCTTTTGTGGCTGGGGGGCTTATCCCTGCCCCACACTAGGCTTTAACTATGCTGGAATTCATGTCGTTTATCTATCTTTTATTTGATGACGGACCGTAGGTCAGCATATCTTGGGCAGCATATCGAATTTTGTGAATAATTTTAGAGCTCTGTCTCTGATACATTTTTTCACTGAGTCGATCCTTAGATCTCTGTGTATGTCTGTTGTTCTAATATACCATGGAATCTTAAATAGTCTTCCTATAGCCAGATTTTGTGCTATCTGTAATTGCTTTAATGCAGTATTTGAGACTTTGCTGTATGTAACATATTCGTACAGTAGTGCTGGCTTAATTATTTGACTACATAGTGACTTTCTATTTTTGAGGTTGAAGTGATTATTATTACAGCTGCTTAAGAAAATATAGAATTTTAGAGCAGCTATTCCGTTTCCATTTCATGTGTTCATACCAATTGAGCCGTTTGTCAAATGTGACCCCTAAATATATTATGTTTTCCTCCCACCGTATCTCCGTGTCACCGTCGCTCACTCTTGGAGGATGCCGTCTTCTCTTTCTATTTGATTAATTTAATTTTTCTCATTTAATGTGTTTAAATCAGAGTTCGGAATGCACACTGCACTGTGCGAGTGGATTTAATTTTTAAAATATGCATACGCACATTTCACATTGCACCACGTTAAAATTTTTATTTTTTTTGTTTTTTTTTTAGTATCGAACCTGGAAGAAATATCTTTGAAAGATACAAATGGCCCATACCATTCGCATGGCAGATTCATGCATGACTCATGGCGTCATACATGCCTAGTCCCTACATTCTCTGCTTAAAATCCTGGAAATCCCTGCAGTATTCTTTCACAGGATAGGTTAGAAGAGCACTTAGCGTGCTTTCACTCCGATTGTGTACTAAGTATTTCCTTCGCTTTAACAATATTTATTGTTCTAGAGATTATGCACTTGTAAAGGCTACACTTTACAATGCTTTCTACGAATCTTATACAGTCTCCAATTATATGGACGGGATTCTCAATTTTATTTGGATAAAACTGGTAGTAGGGGTTACTTGCCAGGCTGAACCGGTGTAAATAGTCACGGAAGCATCCATGCCCCGTAAGGAACTGCGTTAATTGAAATCCCAAGTCTCTAGATCCTCGGTGACTCCAAATTTACGAACTTACAAACTTATGTCCTTTTTCTAAACGAAATATTTAATTTTTTCTTTCTTATTTTGCTTTGTGTAGATGCCAGTCGCTGGCAGCGTATTTTAAAGTGAATAAAATTACTTTCAATACTACTTTTAATGATTATAATGAGCTTGACAATGAAATTTCTATATCAAGTTTTCCCACAGATAATGATATTACTGAGCATTATAGCTCTGAGTAAGTGTATCCGAAGATATTGTTCATCAGCCTTTCAAGACTAAAGAAAAAAACTCATTCAAAATACTGAGTTATGCAATTTGAATTGTTTTGATCTAATTTCAGTTAAACTTCCTAATAGATCTGAATCAGTATTAAAAGATGTTAGTTAATTGCATTTATTAGATATTTATTAGATATAAACATTCAGTTTGTAGTATTTAAAATCACATCGAAATGCTTCATTAAAATTTAAATTATTTTGTGGTCATCATTTATGTTTTATGTACTGACTTTTGAAAGTATTTGACTAAAAAGTTAAATGTAAAGAATATTATAAAATTTTGATATTTAGCGGCGCCATGACCGATCTTTAGCGTCTTCATCTTCTTCTTCATCTTCGAAGCGCAATTCAGGTAAAGTACTTAAAAGCCTATCCTCACTATCGCTAGAACCTTTCTCACTCTTATCTGAAGCCAAAGACTCTGTGATAACTTCTACATCATTATAACGTGAAGTTTCTTTTTCAATTGAGCTACTTGTTGCAACTGCTAGAGGAGCAGTTATAGTAGCGGTTGGTTTTGCTGGGGTAGCAGTAACTACTGGTGCCCAGATAATCTATTATCGAGAAAGAAAAATCGTTATTATAAAAACGTTGTTATTCATTAAATATTTGATATTATATATTGATTTTTATGTGATTACTAATTTAAATAAAAACACTTACATGCAAACGTTTATTCTTAAATACTTTGCCATGAACACTAGCATATTCGGCATGAAAACGTGTGGCATACGTTATAATCAATTGCGGTATTTTCTTGTCGATATCGTGCTTCAAAACTTCACCAAAATGCTAGAATACATGAAAATGATTAGTTTAATTTTGTTTATAAAAATTAGAATACTTTTATATTTATATTAAGCACATATTAATATCAATTGTTCATAAATTTTAAAGAAGCTAAAATCAACACAGCATCTTTGCATAAAAATTTTTCTCGACTTTTCTAGACTCAAACATTTTTGTATCTTACCTTAAAGTGTCCGAGTACAAAATAAGCCTCTTCTGCTGTAAATCCAGTAATAACGATTGTCTTTGGACGACGATCAACACGTGTAGAAACATCTGCATACATGGATCGTGCACGATTTGGACGATTTGGACGATTGCCTGCATAATGTGTACCTTTGCCACTTGTGCTCGGTTGTGGGTGACGCAATGGACCCACACCATTTGCGGAGACACCCAAACTACGTTGTAGCTCTTCAACACGTTTCTGTATGGCTGTAGTATCATTGCCTTCTCGCTGCTGGGCAAATAACTCCAATTCGATATCAAGTAACTCTTTCTTTTGTTGCTCTTTGGTCTTTTTGATAATTGCAGCGGTAGTTTGTGGAGTTGCCTGTTGTTGTTGATGGTTGTAGCTATGATGACTGTGGCTATGGCTACGGCTAAGGGTATTGTTATGATAGTGGGTATAGTTGTGATTGAGATTATAATTAAGTAGTTGAGCTTGCATCTGTTTTGTATCAGCACTTATATCTTTGCGTGACTTATCAATAGAATCCTGTAAAACCTTGACTGTGTCAAGAGTACGTTGACGTTGAGGATCATTAGGTTCGCAACGTTCAACTAAATCGAGTGCCTGCTTCATTTGCTTAACATAGCTTTGCATTAATTCTTGTTTACGTTTTCGCAAACCGTTTGCCAATTGTACAGCGGCCTCATGTTGTTCTCCTTGTTTTTTACGCAACAGTGCATTGGGAATGGCTGGCGATAAGTTTCGTGGTATGACGCTTTTTGCACGTATTGATGTCATAGTCGGCTTACCTGCAATAGTAGCAATAGTAGCAGTACTACTTTTGACTGCAGATTGACTAGTAACAGTAGCTGGAGCTGATGACTTCTTTGCATCAGCTGCTTGCTTAGAAGCGGTTATAACATTGTTTAAGTGATATTGTCTTTTACGACGTTGGTCAGTTAATTCAGTTGATTCAGTTGCAGTGCTATGGGCACTAGCATCTGAATTGTGCCAAAAAACTTTAATGAAGCGATTATTAAACACTGCCTCTGTACTGCGATAGGCCAAATTGGCTTCAGCATGTCCATTAAATGTAACTATCGATGCTTCTGGGTCACCATCATAAGAAACCTGTATATTGACTACTTTACCAAACTTGCTAAAGTGATTATTAAGATGGGTTATGGTGTTACGACCGCGTGGAACTTTGCGTAATTCAAGAGAACAGTTACTTTGCATAAGTGGAACACGTGATCCAATACGTGCTTTAACAGGCATTTTACCTGGAGTAGATCCATCACTATTGTTATCGTCTCCTTCATAACGACGTTTACCGTGATGCGTATTGTCACCTCCTTCGCTTGCATTCGATTCCACATTGATATCCACAACAGGTATGGTAATCAATTCCCGCTGTAATGGTGCAGACATAGATTGATTGAATGAAAACGGCGTAATACCACGAAAACCTATTGTACCGCTAACAACAGGGCGTTCATAATCAGCAATAGGAGCAACACTGTTTGGTACACCTATTGTGCCGCTAACACCAGGGCGTGTATAATCAGCAATAGGTGCAACACTGTTTGATACACTTATTATGCCACTAACACCAGGGCGTGTATAATCAGCAATAGGTGCAGCACTGTTTGGTACATCTATTGTACCGCTAACACCAGAGCGTGCATAATTAGCAATAGGTGCAACACTGTTTGATACAACTGGTCCAGTCATCACTACACCTGGTCTGGGGACGCCTGTAAATGGGTTTATATTAGATGTATTCATATCACCAGGACCTCCAACCATAATGGCACCTGTACCACCCACCAAAGGAATATTTGGATTTGGTGCAACACTCTTTGGTACAACTGGTCCAGTCATCACTACACCTGGTCTGGGAATGCCTGTAAATGGATTTATGTTAGCTGCATTCATAGCACCAGGACCTCCAACCATAATGGCACCTGTACCACCCACCAAAGGAATATTTGGATTTGGTGCAACACTGTTTGATACAACTGGTCCAGCCATCACTACACCTGGTCTGGGAACGCCTGTAAATGGGTTTATGTTAGCTGCATTCATATCACCATGACTTCTAGTCATAATGGCACCTGTATCACCCACCAAAGGAATATTTGGATTTGAACGTGGCCACATATCAGGTGAACCTGGGTTATATTCACGTAACGACATGCTGATTAAAGCGGTATTATTAATGTTTTCAAAAACCACTGGGTTAACACCATGATCCCAGGGACAAGTTTCACCACAAACGCAGTAACCCTTTTCATCGAAATCACGACAGCGTTGACGCGTAACATTATCGTGCTCTAGATGTGGAAGTGGATGGGAAAATGGATGAGGATGAGGATGGGGATGGGGATGTTGATGGCGATCAGGGATATTACACGAAGAGCGTGATGAATAAATTTTATTTCTGCCGCGTTCGGATGAATTGTATTTACTCCGAGAAACCTTTCGAGCAACACGCGGTTTGCGACTGCTTCCAACACTAATAGCATCATTAAAACGTGGTGATCTATCGTCTATGCCACGTTTACGTTTAACACCGCGACGACGATCGTGAGAGGTGCTATAACGAGAATCTCTTGTTGATGGTGGTTGTGGTGATTTCCGAATCTGCCTTGGCTTCTTACGTTCACTAACTCGTCTTTCACGAGAACGTGAACGACGTGGACGCTCTACAGAGCGACAACATGAACGACTGCATGGGGAACGCATACGAGTACGAGAACGTGAACACAAATTAGAGCGTGAACGAGATGATAGTCGCCTACGAGGACCTTCACGTGATAGATACTCCTTATCGGTAACAACTTTGGTAGGTGGGTTTACAGCGACGGATCCAGATAAGCTAGTTGCTGCTGATTCAATTTTAAAATCTCTGGCATCATTTGATTTGGATCCGCCATTATTATTGTCTTTACTTTTTATCTATATACAAGAAGAAAGTTATATTCTATATAATAAAGAAGTAAAACACATCTTTATAATTATTCTTTTTTATATTTATATTTATATTAATATCATTTTTCGTTACCTAAATGGAATATAAAATTGGATAATACGCAAAACACCTGTGTGGTCGACACAAAACAATATTAAATTACTACTTGACTTTACATTTCTTAATAACTTTATTTATATATTAAATATTATTTATTTATTTATAAATTTATTTTATTAAATTAAATGAACATTAAATAGATGTAAAAATCTTAACAGCAATAAGTTAATTATTAGGTCTGTTCCACGAGCTACTCATAGTAAAACATGAGTAAAACAGAAGTAAAATTTACACAAAAATACTTGAAATTTTGCTGGTGGAACGCGCTTGTGTATACACAGTGTTTACTCAAAGTTACTATGAGTAGCTCGTGGAACAGACCTATTATAAGATTATTGCACTTTTGTGCTCTTTGCAGAGATGTATTTTATGTGAAATTATATTATATTATTTTATATTATTTTTATACCTTATTATGGTGTTTGCAATCAGATAGAAATATAAAACAAATTCGCTTTTAAGCGCGGAAGGCAGAAAGCTGCCTAGTTCTAATTTATATTAGCGAACTAAACCTATAAAAGGAAATTTTATTTAAAAACACTTGGATGCTTGACGTGAAACTCATAACAAAAAAAGATTTCTTCTGTGGTCAACTGATTGTTATATTAATAGTTAGTAGTCACTTCTATCCAGAAATAGTGTAAATGCAACACTTTTATTCTTTACAATCCACTAAGTGAAAGTAAGTTTATCAAAGGTATTTATGAATTAAAATATATATGAATTGAAGCAAATTACACGAATCGCGCTGCCTCTGGAAAACCCAGAAATTATTTTTGCAGCATCATTTTTTCCGCAACGTTTAAGTACTTTATCTCTTGCTTTATTTGTTAAGCATAATTTCTTACCCAAATTTCTGGAGGCATCTTAGAATTTTCAACATATAACTTTTATCAAAACAGCAATTTCACTACACGTTTGAACTTTTGAGGGTTTTTGCACGTCACTAAAACGATATGTATAGAAATGTCACTAAAACGATATGTTATCGATAACTGCACTATTTTCAAGTACCAATGAATATTCATTAAATTGTAATTGATTATGACATGGACATATTTTTGGCGTCCTAATATTGTGCTTACTAACAATTGTTTTTAATTTTCTACTAAGCTATTTTCCAATTGTTTATAATCTTATATTATTATATATATTACTATAAATATTATTATATATATTACTATAAATATTATTATATATATTATTAGATTCAGTGAAATTCCTCATAACGGACAGTTTTTTAACCGGGAAGCTTCAATAACCGGAACATAGCTTTTTCATTAATTTTTTTCATACAAATATCATTCCCATAACCGGACGCTCTAATAACATGTCGCGGACACTTCATTTTAAACCATTTCGATCAAGAAATCTCTCAGAAACGGACAAAATTAAAAAAAAACTGAACAAGTCTTTTAAAAATCTGCACTTTTCCATAAAACAAATTCTATTTGTGTTTGTGTAAAAAATGGTAAACTTTAGTCACCAATAATTAATTAAATATAATTAAAAGTTCATAAATTAATTCCAAACACAACGGCAGCTAGACAACTCCTTGACAAAGGGGCAATCCAAGATGCTGAAATTTTTAATAGGACCTTACTTTTAAAATAACATACTTGCTACGTAAAGTTGATCAAGATCAGCCTCAGAGGTTTTGAAATCTCTTAATATGCTGGAAATTGTTTATTTTCTCAAAGTATCTTGGCATAACAATAAAACAAAATTGCTTCCATAAAGCAGGATCTTCAAAAATTTATGAAGATCTTGCTGATATTGACCCCGAAGATGACATTTCGCACACAATCTATTTCAATGGGTCTATCCAAATAGACAGAAATGTCTGCACTGAAGACAACAATGTTGAAATTAAATTTGAAAAAAAAGCGATATTATGGACATAACTTAAAAAGGAGGATCTAATGAAGAAATAAGTGAACCCATAACATCATACGTAAAACTTCAACTTCATTCAAAATATTATTTGGATGCAATTTAAACATTATCTTCTTGTGCCCTCTCCCATAAGCGAACCTCTTACATAACCGGACAAACACACTGCGAATGTTCGGTTTTCACTGTATATTATTATATATATTATAATATATATTTTATTATACATAACATATTATTATATATAATTATAGGCCTTTTCTTTTGTAAGCACATCACAAAAAAACAACCGCTTTTTTTAAAAATAACATATGGAACAACAACACTGCTGGCTTATTTAGTCCTACTTGAAATCGCTTAACTAATAAGAAACTCAAGTCGCATGGTTGCCAAGACTAAGAATTTGTCTATTGTGAACGACTTTTGGAAGTATGGTACATACGAAATATTCAATTAACTATTGTCATTGCTTCTAACAAATAGATTACTTTTTTTATTTATTATTTTACTATTAAAAGGCATGAAAATTCATATTTTATTCACAATCATGTAAAAAAAATAATGTCCTTAAAAATAATTGCAAAGAATTATTATTTATTTTTTTAACTTTAAATTGAAACTTTAAATTTCAGGCCTTATAATAGGCGTTTTCAGTGGCCCGCAAGCATGGGAAAAAACAGCAAATTGCTGGCCTATACTGGCCGGCAAAACAAGAACACTATTTTCTCTAACACACTTCGGCCAGTAAAGAAAAACGTGTTACCAACGCAATAAGTGAACTATTGTGAACTTTCATTGGAAATTCAAAACTTTCATAAATTTGAAAATTGGAAAAAACAAACAATGTCAGTGGTTTATTTTGAAATTTATTTTGAAATAAATAGTAATGCATTGCCACAATAATACTATGTTATTTTAAAATTAATTGAACTTTTGTTTAATCAAAGCCTTTTCAGCTGTTCTTAATACTCATCATTAGTGGTCTTGCAATTATTTCTTATATTTACTTATTCTCAAATAATTTTTTTTAGTATTGCAAGTACCAATTATTGAGCTTGTATCCTGTCTAATTCCAAGCTCAAAATGAGGTATTAATTAGCCAGCTAAACCAAAGCCATGCTTTACTTTTATGTTCTAACTTGTAATTTTGTCATTTTGTTGTAATACTCCCTGCCACTTTCTTAAGAGCAGCTGAAACCTTTCATATTCTGTCGCAAGCAGATTCATAGCACAATGGAACTTACCGGTCTGAATGCTGTGTTTTTCTTTCTACGCAACATTCGTAAAAGATGTTTATAGCAAGCTATTCTTACCTAAAAGGTTTCCATACTTTCCACCAACTGGAAAAAAATACCATGCTTTAAAGTAAATCCGTCAAAATACCACGTCCTGTACATTAAGTAGCAATTTATAAGTCTTTAAAGGGCATTCGAACAACAAAACAACAAAACAACAACATTCGAATGAATTAACATTCAGGATATCCGTACGAATGCGGGCGCCATGAAGCGTAAAAAAGCCCCCAGGACTCTTTCAGAATATTTAGTATTGCCCACGGTTTACCTTTGTATTTATAACTTAAAATTTTGTTTTGCGGATAAAAACAATGCAACAACAATAACACCAAACACAAAAAGTTATAATAAAATACAACAAAAAATATCTGCACTTTGCATACAAAGTATCTTAAAAAGCGCTTCAATGTTTGGTGGTTTTTATTTCAGTTTTTTTTCGTGTTAACATTTTTTTTCTTTTTTTTTTTTTTGGTTTTGCTATTTCGTTACTTTTTTCTGAAATGGTTTCCTTATGGAAATTTCATCACACTTTGCGGTTAGTGCCGAATATCATGAATGTTGTATTTTCTATGCACTGAGATATTCCTTTAAGGCTATCAAGCACAGATTTTTACATCAGCAACAAACACAGGCGGTAGCAGCCAACAGCAGCAAACAGCAGCAAACAGCAACAGCAACAGCAACAGCAATAAACGGTAACAGCAGTTGGCAGCGAAATGCTTTCTTCCCTGAACTCAATGAAGCTTAAAAATGAACAATTTTCTTCCAGCACCTTCGGAGAACATTATCATATCCTTCGCTCTGCAATGTGGAAGGCTATTAAAAGTTAGCACACAACACACATACAGTATTTGAGGATACTTTCTTTTTATTATTTTATTTTCCTTTTAAATTAGTTAACATTTTCATAAAACGTTTTGCTTTTGCTAAGTTCACAGATTTGCATATCATCACAAAATAACGAAAAAATAGTTTAGATAGTCCAGAACTTTTTTTATTCTCATTTTTACTTTTATTTTCAGCACAATAGATATTAGGATTATCACCAGGATGCTGGAGAATATTTAAAACAAAAACTTATTATTTAACATAAATGTATATAACTAATTAAATTAATTATACACACGGGACTCGGATGACATTACTAAAGTCCTGTGGCCACTAAATATGAGGCTTCATATATATAATTCAAACTTGATGTTTTAGAGTACTTCAATTTCTATTAAAATAAACACATGGAATGTAAACTAATTAATGACTTCAATTGAATACTATAATTAAAACCTGAGAATTTTCCAAATCTTCCATTATATATATGTAATGTTTATTTACTAATAATTTAATTGAATAATAAACTATAGAAAAAACTTCTATTATCCACTAATAACAACTAAGCTTAATCGCTTCATGAATGCTAAAGCAATTTTTATAACACATTAAACTTAATAGCTTACTTAAGTGAAAGAATCCGAGATGGATATAAAAAATAGTTCCAAAGCATCCAAATCTCACGTGCCAATTTACAATCTCTTAATACTCGTATCTGATTGAGTAAGCCACAGCGAACATCAGCTATAATAACATTTTTAGGTAAATACATGAGAGACAAAAATAAAATAAAAAATTGTGCTTGGTCTTCACAATGCCAGTCATGCCAGTCAGTCATTCTTAAAGATCGATTACTAGTCTTCACATTGGTTCTTAAGACTTTACATTATTGAAGTATTAAACGGACGCCTCCATTCAATCAAAAGTACAAGTACAAGTATAGCGTGTGATTAGTAGAGTCATTCTATTGAAATCACATATCTACCTGTTCTCTATGTTCAAATCCAGAACAAAAATTTTAATAATTGGCAATCAGAATTAGCAGATTGTGTAACATCTTACAATATTAAAATACACCATTCAATAATTTAAGTGGATATAATACCATTCTTTTAGCAGAAAAAATGAACGAAAACAAAACAAACGTAAATCGCACGGCAATATTTGCTGAAAAGTTCCTGTAGTTGAAAAGAGTAGATCTCGACAGAAGGAAGCTGGAGCGCAGATGTATTACATCAAGACGAAGTAGGACCTAAGCTAGCAACAGTAGGATCTAAACGTAGATTACACCGTTGAAAATCTTAAATGACTAATGGGAACCCTAACCAGAGATAATACTAACGTAGATCCGGGATAGTATAGGGTCTCTTAGAATGAGGGAGAGTGGTTTAGTTCGTTCAAGTTAGTTTGCATATGGTAAGTGCGTAGAAACTCCCCCAATCCCCGCCGCACTAATAAACAAAACAAAAAAAGTAATTTGATTTTACTCTATAATATCTGAACTCTAAAAATATTGTCGACAATCCATTTCTCATCACCAGTATAAACTGGTTACTAAATAAACATTTGGTATTACTATAAGTGGTTAAATTCTTCACATTTATTTTCTTAGCGACCCCACTAGTTGTTATCTGCCGATTTATAATCGTTAATGTCTGCACCATGTTTTCATCATCAGCTGAACTTCCAGTACATGGTGCGTATTAAGTATCAAAACTGTCCAATTGAAATGTTGCGAATCAATATTGGAACTGATTTTCTGTCAGTACATATACTCCATATACTTCGGTTAGTTTTTTTCTTATTTCAACAGTATGTTTCGAAAGTAAGAAAGTAATATATGCCGAAAAAATTTAATTTTCATACATGGAAAGACTCCAACCAAAAACTACGAGTACTAAAATGTTAACTGTAA